TATACTTTTCTTAGGCATATAACGACATAAAGAGATAAAACACAAAAGAAAAAGAAAAGAGAGAGAGAGAGATGCAGCAGAATGAGGAAGAACTAGCAGCTCAAAGTAAGTTTTGTTTTCTCTTTCCCTCTCTCTAACCTCTTTTCACCCCCCCCCCCCCTCTCTCCCTCTCTCTCTCTCTCTCTCTTTCGCTTTTAGATTTTTTTCTTCAATTAACCGTTTTTTTTTTTAATAAAAAAAAACCCGAATGGCGATGATATTTTTTTTATAATTTTTTTAAAATGTGATAACAGAAAACGACAGTTATTGTTATATTAAAAATCTTTCGGCGACATTCGCAGAGGCGTAAATTTTAGCGGTTGATTGTCTCCTGCATGTATTTAGATGTTGACAAATCAGTGATTCTCGAACTGCGTCTTTTGCCTCGACAATTTAATAAAGTAATAACTTTTTGAATATTGATAAAAAGAGAAAACACCGATGACCGGCAAGTGTGATATATTTATTTGATTTGATTTGATAGAAGTGAATTGATTGCTTTGCAATAAAAAAAATGCAGGGCAGTTGTGATATCTTAGTCATGCTTTGTCAATCTGACTGGGAAAAAAGAAGAAAAATAATTTGGGGTTAAAGTGACTCGGTAATATTGTTGAAGGTTGATGAAAGAACTGCGTAATTTGTGTATAAAATGTTACTTATTATATACCTTTTACCGTACTAACCCTCTAACATGCAAACAATCCTGAAACAAAAAAAATCGCAAAACACAAATATATTTATGGTTTTCTTTGAAGGCGTCACTGTGCGATACCCTCTAACAGTAAATTCTCCCAACCATTTTTGAATTTTCCGTTTGTCCATGAAAATAAGACACAAGACAGGCTTTTAAAAAAATCTACTTTATTGTCTTGAATGGTATATAAAGCCAACTCATTGCTTTGTGACGATTTACATTCACCTAAAATGTAAAAATTGTAATAATGTAGTTGGGAGAATTAAGGAATCGATCAGATCAGTTTTTCCCATTTTTTTTCTCCATTAGTAATGGTCTGTTTTTACTCACACTTCCAGATTATCTCAAATTAAATATCTATTAATGAAGTCACTCCCATAGCATCATTTTCTCTCATCTGAACAACTTAATATTATTTATATAATTATAGGTGATGTGTACACTTCAGATTCGTCACGTCTCTCCACAATATACGTTCATTTTGTCGATGGCGATTCTACGACCATTGATTGACAACAAAAGTATCCAATATAAATTTTAGCGTCGCATGTGGACTTCAAAGAACATCGCGGTGGACATTCACAGCAACCCACTTAGATTTCTGTTTTGATTATTTTCAGCATGTAAACGCTGCTGTAGACTTAATAGACGTACATAGCAGAGATATAACGTCATTACTGTTTTCGTTTGTGTATCCTTGGGAACCACTGGGTTGGTTTCATGAATTGGGGATTATGAATTTGTTTCTTGAAATAGGCCAACGTATTGCTGAGGTCCTGATTGTTTACAAATAAAGCGATTATTTGTGAGCAACGGGAAATTCCCCCAATCGAAACAAAAATGAATAAATAAGCGATGGATCGAGTCGCTTTTTGTTCATTCTATATTCTTTAAAACTACCCAAGGCCAAACAAGTGAGTGATGTAGAAGCAATGTTATCTAGAATGGATTAGCCGATGACATTTAAAAACACTGTACCACTCTAAAGATTTAAAACAAAATTTTAAAAACACTTATTGTTAAATATGCAATTCTCTTCGTAGCTCAGTAATAGTAATACTTGTATTCCAATAACCCCCCCCCCCCTTTTTATAAAACTATTTTTACAATTTGATATGATTATTTCGGGACTAACCCTGACAAGCAAGTGAGCAACATACCTCCCCCCTCCCCCCCCCCCCCTCCCCGTTTTTCCACTTGCTTGTTTTTCTTGTTATGTATTCCTTTGTATTGTACAGTGCGTCCCAGAAAAAAGGAATCCGAGAATTATTGATGTTTTATCGTAACTTAATCACAGTTATAAACAATGAATGACATATATTTGTCAAGCTTAGATCCTCCTCTTTCATTTGATACAACTCATAGGATGCATATTTCACGCATGAGTGGTACAAACTATTTGAAGAAAGGAATACCAAAATTCATTTGACGAACACTATCTGAATTTCATAGAGAAAATCATATTCTAGAAAGGTAATTTTTCCCCCTTTCATATGGCACCTAATCAGAAAATATGAGCCAGGAATAACAAAGTTCTTTTCCATATTTTTATTTAAGGAAATCCATTCCAGTGGCTGTCTGCCCTATAATAACAACAACGAAGACGAAAGACTTCATACATTTCTGATCGGGTTTGTTGTTTGTTGCTACGGCAAGCAGCCAGTCAAATCGAATTCGTTTAATAAAATTATTGAAATGCAAGCATTACTTTAAACAAACTGAAATTGTAAATTATCGTACCATGTAATAAAGCCAATGGAAACATAATTTCTATGTATTACCATGAATCAATAAAGACGAAATGACTGAATGACAAAAATGTTGTTTTTGCCATAATAAAATAGTCTCGTTTTTGCTCGCTCGCAAAAATTTAGAAACCGGATACTAGTATACAAATATATACTGTCTTGAGAGGTTCTGGTTGAAACTATGGGCAGGAGGTGGCTCCAATGGCACTATTAGAGTCACCTAGGCCCATAGTTTCAACCAGTTCCTCGAAAAGAAGGCAGGGTAAACTTGTTTAATATCCTGCATTTAAACAAATAAACAAAACAAAAAATGTATTAAATTTTGTTTTAAATAATTGTATTGATATATACATTTTTTAACATTATGAACATTTTGGATTTTAATCAAATGTTTTTAATTTAAAATTTATCACATGAATTCAAACAAAACATTTTAGTATTTTACAGTCTATATATTTTTTTTCCTACCCGTAAATAATACTTTCAGTTGAGGTACTACTAACCGCTTGGGAGCCGTAAATAGCACTTTTTACAAAATAGTGTTTATTTTTGATCACGTAAAGAGCTCTCAACTAATAAAAAACAATAAATTTTTGATGCAGGATATAATGGCGTATGTGATCGAACCATAGGCGTCGGCCCCTATGCTAAAAAGCGCCCTTTAAGAAAATCGGTCTAGTGCAGGAAATCACGATGGAGCAATTGTCGCAGGAAAATGTGTAGTACATCCATATACCCAATTGGTATAAACATAACCTTACGCCACACACATCCTCACGCACACCAGCACGCACACAGACTCCTGCACCAACAAAATCCAGACGCGTCTTATTTTTTCGGACACCCACGCACACCCGTAAACTGATTATCCACACACGCACACTCACACAATGTGTACGAAAATTCAAATCCCACAGACTATTGCATGATGAACCATTAATATTTTTTGACCTAAATTATTCTCATTTATAAAATGGCTTTAGTATTTGAAGCATCGTGATTGGTCAGTACGCGTCACATGACATGTACAAAATTTTTGATGCAAGCACGATTTTGCAGAAAAAAGCGCAAAAAAAAGTTAATAATACACGTGACCATGGAGATCCAGTGCGCGCGCGTACGTGTAGTACGCGCTCCCTCGAGTGCATTGCAATTATTGTAGGCTACGCGTAGCTAATATTGTACGCACCACCATGATCCCCAGCGCAACGTACGAGTAGCTTAGCTCTAGCTAGCTAGCTAGAGCGGGGTATTATTAAAAAGCAAATTTTTATTTTACTTTTGCCTTGGATTTAGGCCTGTTTTGACTTTTGGATTTTATAATGAAGCCAGGAATTTCAGCTGTCTGATGTAGACTCGTCTCTAGACCCACTATATGGATTTTATTTTTAATCAAGGCAATGAATCCCATTGAATTTTTGGTAAGCCTGCAAGGTCTTAGTCTAGAACCAACATAACTCTAGATCTAGATCGAACTCTCGTAGACTCTAACTTAAGATCTAAAGTTTCGTTTGTTGCTATTTGTGTCGCTATTTTATAAAACAAATAACGCACTTGACCCTGTTGTGCGAAACGTAAATGCAGTGTACGCTCGGTTTCTTCAGATGGTGCGCACTGTAAACTCGCCGCAAGCGGCTCGTTCACAGAGAGCGGCAACAATCTAAAGAAAACTCGCGTGTACTGCATTCACCGCTATTGCACTCTGGGACGTGTGTTATTTGTATAGTTTTTAACCCTAGACTCAGTAGAATACCAACTCACCCATCCTCACATGTAAACATGCACACGCACATACGTGTACACACCACGATAAAAAAAAACACACCCACACACCCGCACACCCTCACATACTCGTACAAACCACAATAACGTACTATCATACGCGAGCACACCCTCGCGCGCACGCACACGCGCACGGCACTCACTCAATATACACGCACACCCTCACTTACTCGTACAAACCACAATAACGTATGATCATCCGAAAGCAAACACAGGCGCGCACACACACACGCGCATGGCACTCACTCAATACAAACGCACACGTCCGCACCAACGCAGCCCCTAATAATTATGTACACGCTTATCCACTCACGCACACCCACCCACACACTCACAAACATATACCCACACGCACACCCACCCATTGTAAACTAAAACTCTCATCCAACAGAATCTGTCATAAAGAACCATCATTTTTTCGACCTCATTCATTTTTATCATTTTATTTGTACATTGCAACTTATATCTAATTTTAACCCTTAACCGATTGGAGAAGTTACGGAGGGAACATTCAACATTCGCCAAATCGGATCCACATTTCCTTGATGGTAACTGGGAGGGGTAAGTCTCAAACATCCTTCACAAGGAAGTTTTTTTTTTTTTTAAAGGAAACCACCCCCCCCCCCCCAAAAAAAAAAAAGCAGTAAAGAAGTTCTCTTATATTTCAGAGTCATAATCATGTCTTAAAAACTGTAAAAGCTCAGACAACCTAACTATTAATAACGACAACAACAAAGTTAGGTTCTAAATCTGTCAGGGGATGAAGGGGAACACGAGTACACATTCGTTCCTGCGTCCCCATCCCATCCTTGGATCCGCCCCTGCACTGGATTATGAAAGGGAGAGAAGAGACAAAAAGAAAAAAAGAGGAGGGAAAAAGAACGTAGTCTTCATGAAAGAGTGAAATAATGACTTGCAGAAAGAAAGAAAGGGAAGACGTTTACATGCATGCGATGATAGAGAGAGAGAAAGAAAGAAAGAAGAGGAGAAATGAAAGATGGCTACATGGTTGACATAGAGATAGAGAAAAAATGAGAGAAGGAAAGAAAGAGAAGAGAAAAGAAAAGAAGGACGGTAAAGCGGTCACACCCAGCCATATCTACACCCTCTCTATTTCATCCATTCAGTAGTATCATATCTCCTACATCCTGACAAGATCCTCACACGCTAGCCCATCATGACATTGGTTTACCAGGCAAACATGTCAAAAATCAGCCACATTCTCCTAAAAGATGTTTTTTGTTTTTTTGCCTAATCAGAGGAATTATTAAATATACATGGTTACAGTAAAAGATACAATACTATAAATCAAATTTACATAATCACAAAAGCATCATTAATGGCATAACAAAGAATTGAATTAAATTTTGTTTTGCAAAGCAATTGAATCATCTTTAACAAAAAACTTATACTGATAGTTTTGTTTCCCTCTCTATTTTTCTTTTTTCCCTTTTTCTTTCTTCTTAACTAACACCTACCAGTTCTTTTGATAAAAGCTTTCTGATAATATTTATGTTTGACTTACTTTCCAATCTTTTTATAATTTTTCTTATAACTTTTCTTTTCTCTATCCCAGTCATATTTCGATTAACAATCAATTTATGAATGGTCCAAAATGCTATAGTAAGGAATAAAGTACAATGACTTTCACAATCTATTTTGAGCAGGCGTTGGATACTGAACGTCAGTATCTTTACTTTGTATATCTCGTAATATTTCTTTCAGATGTTTAATGAAGGGCGTATTTCGTTTGCAAAAGATATATTTCTATTTCTGTTATATATATATATGAAACTCTTTTTACTGCCATCTTTAAACAGGGACCGTATATTCACAGGATCAGCTGCCCCCCCCCCCCGCCCCCTCCCCCACCCCCCCCCCCCCTCCTCCCGCCATTTTGTAAATAAAGGTCTGGAGACTTCAGAAATGATGAAAGGAACCGAATTATCTACATGAAGGCCGCCAAGGAAAAGTCCAATTGTCAAATCACTTCATTCTGGGGAAGACAATACAACTACTCACGCACGCATGCACACGATCAGCAATATATCACATTCTTTATACAAAGAAAAACAAATTTATTTCATTCTTCAACATGATCGAAAACAGCTTTTCTATTAAACACTATCTATTTCAAGAATAACATGTATGATATGGTTGTTTAAAATAATGTTGCTATTATTTTCATGTTCACTTGACGAGAAGCATTTCTTTAGCAACATCTCGTGTTTCTTCAAATTAAAATTGCATCTCACAGAAATTGAAATCCTTCACAGATAGCAAGGGCGTCCGTCCGACCTTCCTTTATTTCGTTTTTCTAATTTCACGTCTCTGAGAAAAATAACAGGATGTGGATTCGTGAGTAGAAATCTCAATATTTGTCCTTGCCTTGAAATGAGAGAGCATTATTCTTCAATGAAAGGATGCGGGGTAACCGAAGGGCACAGTGGCCAAAGATGTTTTGTTTTGTTTTAATTAATTTCCTGCAAAACGGGTTTCATCTAATATGTGTATGTTTTGACTCGAACATCGACATTGATGTAGGGATTGCATCTCAAAGTGGTTTGTATTCAGTGGCAAAGGCTATATATATTTTCCAACTTTTATCAATTATTATTATTATCATTATTATTTAAAAGAAAAATACAAAAAAAAATCAAAAAGAATCTCATGTTTGAAAATTAATATCTTATGATAACGTTATCGTTTGTAACCCTTATAATTTACAAATAGGTTTTTACAAACTCTTACTATTATGGATATCGAAATAAGGACGAGTATAATATTCAGAACTTCATTATATTTCACTATACACTTACAAGTGAATGAATAAATATCGAAGTATTGTTATACTCATAATGATTGTTCCATCATTATGATGCAATTACTATTCGATTGTACATAGGCTATCCAGCTTGAATATTATGACACAGGGCACATGTATTTCCTAGGTAGGGATTAAGCATGTGATACTCATTTTCCCCTACCCTCTGCTCCATTTGCAGACACTTAAATCTGCTAAATTTGCTCTACAATGAAGCTTTATTTTGCCAATAAATCACTGGATAATTCACTGCCATGCGCCTGACAGGCTCATGGCTAATTGATTAGTGATTTAGTTTTGTAAGAAAAATTCAACCTTCAAAGCAAACGAGTCTACAAGAAAGTACACAAATCAGAACGGAATCGGACAAACTAAATACGAGAGTTATTAATTTTTTAAACTGTAATCTCTACACATAGGGGAACTTAAAATTGGCTGAATCTGTAATGTCACTATGACGATAGTGCTGGACAACTTTCTCATTCGTTCCATCACGCAAAATGACTAAACTGTTGACAAGTTTGAACGAAACCGGACAACAAAATTACGAGAGTAATGAATTTTAAAAATTGTAATCTCTACATATTGGGGAACTTGAAATTGGCTGAATCTTTAATGTCACTATGACGATAGTGTTGGACAACTTTCTCATTCGTCCCAAAACGCAAAATGACAACAATTTCGATGATATATTGAGTAGTTGCCCTTGGGAGAATAGTAAAACAGAAATTGATTATAGTTTTGTATAAGACAAACATGAGAGTTTTCCATCACTACGTGACTACCCACAGACCAAATTGCAAATTTGAGATGCGCGTTCATCCAACGATTTTAAATTTCAAACTGTAATAAATGTTATCATTTGGCCTTTTTTAATCAAATTTTGTCATTTTGATCCCTTTATTTTTCTGCATCCATACGAATTAACTTAATAAAAAGGTTGGATTGAAGAAGTTTCAGGGTTAGTTTGTTCCAAGTTTGTGTAGAAGTGGAGAATGTGAATGAACTTAGAAATTAACCGTGGAGCAATATTCATAATAATAATAATAGCTCACATTTATAATGCTCCTTTGTTTCTAGGCGCGGAACATAATATTACCCCGGTCATCGGATTCAGGCTTACCCACACACAAGGTATGCACATTCTCCACTCCCTGGGGAGCATTCCAGCCAGTCGCCATTTTACAAGCGCCATTGCTAATCAAACCACATTAGCTTTCGCATCCTACCGGGTGCCCATTTTAACACCTGGGTGGAGAGTGGCAAATTCAGATCAATGTCTTGCCAAAGCACATTAGTGCCGCGGCGGGACTAAACCGCGGACCTTGTGATCCACAGTCCGGTGACATATCCACTCGACCACGACACCTCATGTCTTTCTCGGATTCGTCTTACATTTGTTATCTTTTATTGGGTTTCTCTCAGTTATATCAATCATGTTGCTGGCGTGAAGAAATGGTACCAATTACCCACTTCTATCAAATTAAGTTAAGCTTTACCCCGATTTAAAAAGCTTTGTCGCAAATTCCTATTTGAAAATGTGTAACAATACAGTATTCCGTGTAGGTATGCGTGTGTGAGTGCGTGTGTGTGGGTATCGTGAATAAATTATATTTAATCCAATTTGTTTTGTGGGGGCCCTATTAATTAGCAATAAGGTTCGTTTTGGTCCTTTGTATTTTGCATGTTTTATGTATTTTATTTTCTATTGTAAATTTTGCTGTTACATCTATATGGTTTCATAAATTCAATTAAATTATACATTACTTGGCGTGTTGGCCTAGAAAGAAAGAAAATGTCTGTATATTGAATTCTGCATGATTGGCATGGTGCAAACTTAGCTTTTTTTAATGAAAAATAGTGATAAATATTATTCAGAAATCTCTAAAATAAATTCTGTGAACAAGATTGAAAGTAGTACACAGCGAGAAAAAAAGCATCAAACCGCGCTATGAATAGCTTGGTCGTATAATAATAATATATTATAGTTTGTAATATATGACAGAATTTCGGAAATAATAATGCTTTCACATAAGAAAAACTAAATAAATATTTTTTAAAAGGTGGAAAGGACGCAAATCATTATTTTTACATCTGCTATAAGGCCTTTTCAACCTTTTATTTGACTGCGCAATAACTTTCTTTCTTTGGTCAGTTTATATTTATATGAAAGGCATCACTTGGTATTAGGAAAAAGTATTTAAAAAAGGCTTTCGAACCCAATTAATTAATTTTAGTGTGTTCTTTGCAAACTGCTTAGTCAAAATTTTAATTGAAATTGTTCAATAGATTAATATTTAATTGTTTAATATAAAGCATGAGACATAGCTGAGACGTATCAAGGTACTGATGACTTGTAATCTTTTATATTTCGTTAATTGGTAAACATATTTTTCTTAACGAATTATCTAGAGCCCATACTCAAAACTATCCTTGATCTTTTCCATGCACGTGTGTTATCGTCGAATTCGTAATCCGGATCGTCATAAATATTACCTTGTCATTTTGAAATAATCGGCTTTTCCTGGCATTTTTCTTTCATATTTCACATCTGCAACAGAGAACATCGTATATCTCTTAGGTCTTCATCAGCTCCTACTTTGTCATTCCCAAACCTCATAAACAGGCTGGTTTCAATTCCCTTCAGTCCTTAGCCCCGCGCCTTTGGAACAAACTCCCCGCGTTCTTAAAGTAGATATACATTGATTTTAAAAACTAACTTTATTTTCATTATTGCAAAGTTGAAACTGATTCGACAAGGTTATCAAAATTCAATGCTTGAAAGCATTCGAAGTAATAATTATCATAAATTACAAAACGCTTAAATATAGCCCCGGCATAGCACCTGAAGAGCTCTCCGAACGCTGCTAAGATGTGTGAGATCACAGTATGGACATGATTTGCACAAGCAGACGATGTCCCATGACATCTCACACATTTTCAGTGCCTGTGTTTTCATCTTTTCTTGAGTTCTTTCTCTTACTTCAGTACCGTCAGGCTAA